AATTATTTGAGTTTGTTAAGTCATCCAATCTGGAGTGTGAAAGTTGTCGATTGGGAAAACATTTCAGACATTATTTTAAATCAAGTAATAAAAGTACTGCTTTTGGTATTACTCACACTAATGTTTGAGGGGCCATATCATATTTTTTTCGTGAGTGGCTATCGTTATTTTCTTTTGTTCATGGATGACTATTCTCAATATTCTTATATATATTTAATGAGATCACATGATGAGGTACTTTCTGGTGCAACAGTTCCATCAAATGGTTCTTACACAATTTGGGTGAGGACTAAGGTTTTCAAATCAAAAAATCCTAAAGAATACTTTAAGAATGATCCAACCACATATTTATTGGAGCATGGGGTGATTCATTTGAGAAGTTATGTTTATATATCGCAGCAAAACGGGGTAATAGAAAAAAAAAAATAGACATACTGTAAAGGTGGCAAGAAATCTTAAGGTGTGTGCTTTAGTTCTTGTTTAGTTTTGGGCTGACGCTTTTCTCATGGCTATTTTCTTGATCAACATTCACCTTCTCGCATTCTTGTGTTTAAGGTACCATACAATCTTCCTTTTCTAGAGGGGGAGATGTTTAACATACCTTTGAGAATCTTTGAGTATGTTTGTTTTGTTCATATTATTGGTCCCCATTATAGTAAGTTAGATCCTAAGGCCAAGAAATATGTCTTTCTTGTTTATGCACAAAACCAAAAGGGATACTATCGTTATGATCCTGTGTCAGGGAGTAAGCTTGTCACTATGGATGTCACCTTCTTCGAGTCCACATTTTTTCTCTGGTGGTTCTCCTAAGGGGGAGTGTTTTGGGGAAGGGAGTTCACAATCTATCCCTCTCACTATTCCTGCCCTTGCTCCTTTACTTGCACCAGTCACTTACGCTCTTGTTACACCACCAATTCCATCAATTGTCCACCAACTCATCCCATTGCTCTACCTGACCCATTACAACCTGCCTCACAGTTTTTTCAGTGTCAGTGCAAGAGGGTTGATTCAACTCATGCTCCAATAAGGGAATCCACACCACTCTTCGTTAGATCATCTAAGATTCTAGGTTTAGTTGATATTTTTCCAAGTATTCCCCTTGAGCCTGCTATTGTTTTTGTTCCTATTGATGAAACACTTGTACCTAACACTGATGTTGTAGATGATCTTAATCTTCCCAATGCTCTCCACAAGGGAAAGAGAGTGTACAGTCCATTGTATTTCACACCATCTTTCTTACAGTAGCCTATCTCCCTCCTACTAGATGTGTAAAGTGTCGTGCCGCCCTACCCGGTGAAAATTTTGGGGGTCGGCAACCCACACCACTCTTCGTTAGATCATCTAAGATTCTAGGTTTAGTTGATATTTTTCCAAGTATTCCCCTTGAGCCTGCTATTGTTTTGTTCCCATTGATGATACACTTGTACCTAACAATGATGTTGTAGATGATCTTAATCTTCCTGATGCTCTCCACAAGAGAAAGAGAAAATGCACAGTCCATTGTATTTCACACCATCTTTCTTACAGTAGCCTATCTCCTTCCTACTAGAGGTGTAAAGTGTCGTGTCGCCCTCCCCGGTGAAAAATTTGGGGGTCGGCCCTGCACGGCCCACAGCCCATGGTCCAAGCCCGTGTGGGCCCATGCTGTGCCACGGGCCAGGCTGGTCCTTGAACCGAGGCTTGGGCCTGGTCGGGCCGTGCATCGGGCCAAAGCTATTTATTTAAAAAAAATTGACAAAAAACTTAAAGTTCTAATTTTATATGAATTTTGTGTATATAATTGCTTATATATACAATAATTAAATAAGTTAGTATAATAAAATTAAAAAATATATATATTTTATTAATATATATTATACTATATATTATAATATAATTATAATTTATATAATATTATATAAATATATATAAAATATATATGGTCCGTGTCGGGCTATGCCGCGGGCTGGGCTATGCCAGCCCGTGGACCTAAAACCCCAAGCCCAACATGGCCCGCATGATCATGGCGGGTCTAGCATGGCCCACGGACCGTCGTGCCAGGCTGGTCCAAGTTCGTGCCGAACTGTGGGCAGCACGACCCGATTTACACCTCTACCTCCTACCATGCCTTCCTTTCTTCTCTTAATTTTGTATCTATGCCCAGGTATGTTGGTGAGGCTCTCTCTAAACCTAAGTAGAGAACAACTATGCATGAGGAAATGGAGGCTTTGATTAAAAATCAGGCATAGGAAATAGTTGATTTACTTGTAGAGAATAAGACAGTTGGATGTAGGTGAGTGTTCATTGTAAAGTACAAGGTTGATGACAATATAGAGAGGTACAAGGCAAGGCCGGTTGCAGAAAGGTATACACAAACCTATGGAATAGATTTTTGGAAACCTTTTCACTAGTGGATAAAATCAGTCCAATTTGGATTCTCTTGTCATTGAAAGCTACTTATATGGTGTTGGTGAAGGAAAGGTATGTAAACTAAAGAAGTCCTTATATGGTTTGGAGTAGTCACTTAGAGCATGATTTAACAAATTTAGGGAAACATTTATCCGCTTTGGTTATACATAGACTCAATCAAATCATATTCTCTTTGTGAAAAGGAGAGGATCACTTGTGTTGGTGCAAATTGTATATGTGAATGATATAGTTCTTACAAGGAATGATCTAGTGAAATTGATGCACTTAAGAAGTCATTACTTCAAGAATTTGAAATCAAAGACCTAGGTGAGCTGAATCATTTTATGGGGATTGAGGTTGCAAAATCCAAACATGGGATATTTACGTGTTGGACTTGGAGTTACTATAGGAAACTAAAAAGCTAGAAGTCAAATTAGTTAATACTCCTATTGATCAAAACCACAAGATTAATGCTTCATATGGTGAGTTGCTTAAGAATGTAGAGAGGTATCAGAGAATGGTAGGCCAACTACTATATTTGTGCATGGCTTCTCCAAATATTTCTTATGCTATTAGTGTGTGAGCTAGTATAAGCATGCTCCTTGGGTTTAGTATTGTGTGGATATTGATAGGATTCTTACATACCTAAAGAAACATCCTGGCAGAGGAATTTTGTTTGCTAATCACAGGCACTTGAAATTGGAAGTCTATACTCTATACAGATTCAAATTGGGCAAGGTGCCTAGATGACAAGAGATCTACAACAGGAGTTTGTACCTTTATGGGAAGAAATATGGTCTCATGGAAAAGTAAAAAGCAGTCAGTTGTGGTCAGGTTAAGTGCAAAAGAATAGTACATATCTATGGCACATGGTGTCTCAGAACTTCTTTGGATTTGGTCCTTGTTAAGTGAGGTTGGAATTGATGCAAAAGAACCTATGATGTTATACTGTGATAATCAAGCGACAAACAATATTGCCCATAATCCAACCCAGCATGACAAAACAAATCATATTGATGTTGATAGACACTTCATAAGAGAGAGGGTGACAGTTGCATAAGTCTGCCTACCATATGTCTCTTTTAATTGACAATTGGTTGATGTCTTTACCAAGGGAGTTAAAAAGAATAAGGTCGAACATGATCTATGCAAGTTGGGAATGTGTTACATTTACTCCCAACTTGAGGCGGAGTGTTGAGTATTTTGCTGTTTTGTTGTTAATAGCTTGTTTTTACTTTATTTATTTTTGTTTAGTTAGCTTGTTGGGACCACAGTCTATTAGTTAGAAGTTACCTAAGAAGTAGTTCATCTCTCTTTTTTGAGTTGTAAGAACCAACCACCCTATTAAGGGCATATATGTCTTTGTACTTTTTTTTACTTAAAGTATAAAAGCTAATGGGAGAGGGAGGCCAGCATTATTGGCTTCTCTTTTCTTTTTCCATTCTTTCTCTTCTTCTTCTTCTCTTTTCCCACAATTTTTTCTTTTTTCCTTCTCTTTCTATAATATTTTACATTTCTGCTGATTTCTACTCTCACCAAAGACAGTAATAAGTCATTTAGTTCAGCTACCTCAGCTGTTATCAAAAAGCCCCTTAGTTGAAAACCTGCCTTTGTTAATGTTGACTTGTTGTCACTAGTTGAAAAAATCTGCATTGATTTAATAATCATAGTTGCCTTCAAAGAGTGATTCATTTAAACAGCACTGAGCTAACCATTTCACTGTTCTATGGTTTTCTACCAACGAAAATGAAAATCAAATTAATCTTTGGTCCTTTCAGGTTAGATGAAGCATGAAATAGTGAACACTAAATACATTAAAGATAGCAAAGATTATTGCTCATTGGACCTGGGGGTCAAATCAAGGAGCCTTTTGACCCACCTGGTCTAAAGTAACAGACCCAGGTCCGTGCAGATTCGACATAATCAATGATAACATACCGGACCACTTGCCTTGGGCACAATTTTAGGACATAAACACTTCTTTCTGAGATCAATTAACAATCCTAATAAGAATGCCTAGATCTGCACTGTTGATTTTAACCACCAGAATGATATCAAAGGGGAACCATGCCAATAATGGATGTTAAGTGAATTACAGACCCAGTTTGGTTTTTAGGAAAGGATACTATTGGAACAAAAGAAAATGAAAAAATAAGTAGGAATTAAGTTTTTAATTTTTAAGCTCTCTCTTTCCCAAAGTGTCAATGATTATATGATTTATATATAGAAATCATAGTCTAATCGTTACCCTTTTGTTTAATAGTGTATGTCATGTTGTTAGGCACCCTCCTCTACAAGCAAGTGAAGTTGTTTATTTATTTTTCCCAGTAAAGAAAGAAATATGGGAATTAAAAGAAGAAAATATCTAATTATAAAAAAAGCAGATAAAAGTATCTAATTATAAAAAAAAAACAAATATTTTAAAGTTCTAGAAGACAAGTTACAAGAACATAAACAAGGAAAAGGTATAAAGCCTTTTTAGCAGTTTACTAGAGCACCAATCATCAAAAAAAAAAAAAGATCAGAGTATATTTAATTCAGAAACACCATAAGGTCTCCTATAAGTTGAAGCCTACATGTTTTCCTTTTCCTAAAAGGACAATGAAGAATACCTCAATAGTTTTACCATTTGAAGCTGTAACTATGTCTCCAGGTCTCATGCCTGTACCACTGATCATGTTCTCACAAGCTGCAACAATGAAATGGACCTGGATATACAAGACTCAGTCATGTCCAAAAGCATACTCAACTGATTTAAATTGCTACAAGGGAAAAAAAGTTTAAAAAAAAAGAGAGAGAGAGAGACTATGGACCAGACAGGCTGTTTGTTCACAGAACATGAACTTGATAAAGAACCAGTTACCTCTACTCCTGCAGGTTTTATTTGGCCAATGGCTTTTGCTGCACCTAGAACAGCAGCTGAACCCCCCATATCAGTTTTCATAATCTCAATAGAACAGCCTGGTCCAGTCTTGATGTTGTAGCCACCACTGGTGAGAAAGAAGAACAAAATATAAGTGAATTTAAGCCATATAGGCTGTGCCTCATCACATGCAAAACCTAAAAGGAAACAAAAATACTCCTATTTTCTTTTTTGGTAAATATCAGTTTTCAACATTGTTGAAACAAGTAAAAAAAAAAAAAAGAGTAAATGCTGTTTGTTTCATTAGTCCAACAGAAGTTGTCTTTACCCAAAAAGTTGTGTGTGTTTGTGTGTGTATGTGTGTGTGTTTGTTTGTTTGTATGTGTGTGTGTGAGAGAGAGAGAGAGAGAGCTGTGTGTTGGACTCATGAAACATATATAAATTTAAAATTCCACTATAAAAATAAGTCAAACCCAACCACAATAGATGGATCACTAATATCACATAAATAACATTCGAATTATATGGTGGTAGTGGCAAATCAATCAAATATTCTTTGTAAAATCTTATTTATCTACCACATGCATACAGACAGGAACGTAGTTCCACTTCTGCAATACTACTAAAGCAATTATTTCCCAGTTCCTTTTCTGTTTTTCAGTAAGAACTAAGAACCAGATGAGGGAAACAAATAATTACCTGTCAAATGTTAAACCCTTTCCAACTAAACCCAACTTGGCTTTGATTGGCCCACTGGGAGGTTTATAACATAAATGGATGAAATGTGGGGGGTTTGCAGAAGCAGCAGCAACACCCAAATAGGAACCCATTTTCAGTTCCTTGCATTTCTCCTCATCCAATATTTTTGCAGTAAGAACATCACCATACATGGAAGCAATCTTGGAAGCTTCTTCCGCCAGTGCACCTGGATATGAAAACCAAACAATTCAAGTCATACTCCGTATTCTTTCTCAACCTGCTTCCAAACATCAACAAACACAATGATAAATAAGCCTAACAAACAAGTTCAACTGCCAATTGGGTCCCCAGATTGATGAGCTAGTCAGCCATACAGACAGTACATGATGATAAGTTCAACTGCCTAATGGTCCCTCAAATCAATGAACTAGCCAGCTGCATAGACATCACACAATAGGCCATATTTTCTATGAAAAAGATAGTATATATAGCTTGCTACATAAAATGGTACCAATCAACTATGACAAAATAAGAATATAAAGATTAAAAAAAACATAAGGGTGATTATTTGAAAAACATTGTGCTCTCCTGCATCACTTGGAGTCTGATAGTCCTCCTAATCCAAAGGCAAGTTTAGGGCTGCAAATAGATCGAATCAAATTCAGTAAGGGGTTGATCAGATCCGCTTTGATAAAATTTTAGGGAGATCCAAATTTGATATGAACCCTCAAATCTTACAAATTGAGATTAATTCAGCCCATTCCATCTTAATGGATATCCGATTCGAACCAATAGTTATCCCTGCATGACAATTTTGATTGGTTTAGGGCTTTAGGCTTAGGCTTATAATCCAATTTACAATTTTATACATGACAAAAATATAAAATGACAAACCTATAAATGATGTTTAAAGTGTAAAATTAAGGGTATAAATGTCACACAAAAAATTATATAAACAGATCAGATTGGCACGTATCGAATTGGGGTGTATTCAAATTTGATCCATTAATTAATCGAATTGACTTTCAATTCGATCCAATTTGTTAGGATCAAGGCGGTTATCCAAATCCAGCTATTAGCAGATCGAATCCATATTCAAATCAAATCAAATCTAACTTAATTGCAGCCCTAGGCAAGTTCTTCAGTTACTACTAGATTTTCCACTGTATTAATACAAAGCCAGAAACGATACTTGATGATAACAAAGCGTAGGCAATTGTCCCAATATAGAGATGTAGGACTATGTAGGACTATGAGGGAACATTCAAATATGCGTAGAAATCCAATATGGAAATGTAAATTAAGAAGGATGCAAAGGAGATCTCTTACGAACCAGGTGTAAGCACATTGGCCGGTGCATTTACAAGCTCTTTTCCAAAAATTATCGCTGAGCAAACATGACCAGCATACTTGAGCTTATTTTCTAGTTCAGGTCCAGCACCAAGACCAAGAATCTCAACCGACTTGAGCAATGGTCTCTTGGACTCTGACTTGAACCTATTGTCTTCGTAAACTCCCAGCACAATTCCTGTAACGATAAGTGCATCCTAACAAATTCAGTATAACAAAAAGATCAATCTCAATCTATGGAAGCATCACTCATCGAAGACATACCGAAAGCTATTGCAGAAACAGCATTAACCTTGGAATCTTCAGAGAGGCCCTCAGAAGAAGCAAGCGCAATAGCCACATCACTGGCTTGGGCAGCCTTCGCGGCCGCTGCCACAGCTTCACCAAGGCTCCGGTAAACAGCTGCGATCGATGATGGTGCGCACTGCCCAAGCCCAATCAAGCCGATCCTTTTTGAACCTAAACCCGGAAGCCTGAGAACCGTTGACTGCCCGGATTTCCCTGTAAAATCCTCCTCCGAGGACGCTTCTGCCAAAAGACCACCCAAATGGGCATCTAACTTTCTCAAAATTGGATTTTCAAACTTTGAGTTCTCATCCTTGGCCATGTCTTTCTCCGTAACACCCACTGCGAGAATGTCTCCTTTCCATTTCACCAAATCGATCTCCTTTGCAGAGAAAGCAATCTGTCGAGAATTCCCACAAACAAGCAACAAACATTTTAAGATTTAAACCGAACAATGTTATCCAAGCAAAAGTAAACGCATTACATGTAAAACCCATCTGGAGATTTCAATCTTGAGCAATGAAAATTACGTAAAAAAGGGTTTAAGATCGAGAAAACTTTTGAGGGAGGGACAGAGGGAGACCTGAGGAACTTCAGTGTTGGCAGGTTGAGTGAGGCCAAGAGTGACCCGACTCAGCGACTGTGCCATGCGGAATCGTCGACGAGAGAGAGAGAACGCAGTACAAAGTCAGCAAATGCAAATTTGTTAGAAGGATGTGAACCCGGTACGAGGAAGCATTTATCGTGCAAGGAGAATCAAAATGAGTTAAAACGATGAAGCATTGACATCATCAGTCAGTATCAGCACCTACCGATGCGGTCGTTCGTAGGAGGTGATTCAATGGAGTTCACATGGGGGAACATTCTTGACCATTGGATTGGAATCAGATGGGATTAATGCTAATACAAGGTGGGACCACGTAAATGTAAATTCCAATTTTTAACTTTTTAGACAGCATCCTCATCAGAACATCGTAGGATGTGCCTGTGACGAGCAGATCCGGTCTCTCCTCATTGTAACTAACTGGTTTGTCTTCACCCTAACCCGACCCTCCAATTCTTGCATCGAATCAAATCTGATCTGACCCAACTTATGATATGCAATGTTGAAACTCGCCCGAATCGTATAGGATTCAACAAAATACTGACCCGATTTTCACCCGCAGTTTTTTAATTGTATATTTCATAAAACCGGTAAGTGTGGAAAATCTTGTTGATAATAATATATTCAAAAATTTTAATAAGTATATATATTTTTTTATTTTTTATTTTTTTATTATTAATCGAATGTAGATTGTAAAACAAAATTTAATTACATAAACACATACTCTAAATATGTGATAAATACCTCTATTCGATTTCAACATATCCATATGTATACTACGGGGTTCAACGGAAGCCTCATCACCTCCTCTCCTCCGGAAGTCGGTTCAATGACTTCCCGGTGTGGTGATCAATAACGAGCTAGCTCTGGGTCGTGAGAGCTTTCGGTTCAAAAAACACCATCAGCAGCCTCTATGTATTTGTCGTCAATTGGGGCCAAAGGTGATGGAAAAACTGACTCAACCCATGCTTATTGATGTAACCGTTTCTGGTCACGTACCAATTTTTGTGATGTATCAATTTTTTTTGACTAAGTACCTTGTCCTTTGATCTACTCCCAGGCGGCCTGTGACTCAGAGGATGATGGAGCTCCGTGGTGGCGAACTGCTTGGTGATGAGCTACTTGGTGGCGAACTGCTTGGTGGCGAACTCCCTGGTGGCGAACTGCTTGGTGGCGAACTCCCTGGTGGAGAACTGCCTGGTGGCGAGCTCCCTGGTGGCGAACTCCCTAGTGGTGAACTCCCTGGTGGCGAACTGCCTGGTGGCGAGCTCCCTGGTGGCGAACTNCCTGGTGGCGAACTGCCTGGTGGCGAGCTCCCTGGTGGCGAACTCCCTAGTGGTGAACTCCCTGGTGGCGAACTGCCTCGTGGCGAGCTCCTTGGTGGAGAGCTACTTGGTGGTGAGCTCCCTAGTGGAGAGCTACTTGATGGCGAACTCCCTGGGGGAGAACTGCCAGGTGGACTCGTCATTTGACCTGCTCCTAGGCGGCTTGCAACTCAGAGGATGGTGGAGCTCCCTGGTGCAGCGCAACCCGACTGCCCTCTGCATGAGGTGATCTCCTCTCCTTTGTAGGCGGCGGGAGCTGAGGGACCTGCGAGAACTGAACCAGAGGACCTAGGGGTATTTTCCCAGTGGGGACTCTCCGATGCCTAAGTTAGCATTCTGATTACAGAAAGCTTGAAGAGAAATGAGAGAACTAGAGAGCAGGGGTTACCATCATTTTCCCTCCCCCCCCCACCTCGGCTTTGGGGGTCGGAGTCCTTATATAGTGGTGTCATCGCGGGTTAGGTGGGTGAAAAGCCTTCAAACGGTAAGACTTGTCACATCCCGTCAGAA